GGAAAAAAACCCCCAAAAAGGGGGGGGGGGGGGGGGAGTGGGGTCCCCCTAAATTTCCATACCAGACCCTTGATCAGAGCACAGGCCAAATGCGGCCCCACCCTTGTGAATGAGTAAGGGTGAGTGAATGAGTACCCCTACCCATTCACTAAGGTTTTAAAAAAAAAAAACGGAAAAAGAAAACAGTCTTTTGGAAAAATCCTTTATTTGGAAAAAAAAACACAACAAAGGATTTTGACAAGTCCTTTATTTTTAACTGGATCAGTGCCATTTGCTGGATCAAGGATATCAGTTTCTGATATTGGAGGAGTCTGCGGCATTTGCAATAGTGGATGTGGCCTTGAGGCAGTATTATTGTTTAAACATCTCCAAAATCTTGAGGAATATGACAGAGGCAGGTGCCAGAATCAATGGAACTTTTTATTACTCTGCCCTCCATCTCTCCTTAGGTTGGAATTTCTAGTAGTGTGGGGCCCCGTCAGAGCCCCTCTATTTGCCAAAAAGTCGATTTTTCACTCTGCTTTTGTTCAAGAAACCAGGCCCAAAAATTATCAACCGAACAATGGCTGCAGCCAATCAGCTGCAGTCACTGTACGGGTATAGTGACAGCGGCACAGCCACTGCTGTCAGACTACAATAGCTTGGCAGAGGGATTCCCCCATTTACACTGCATTAAGAACATTCTAGGTAAATTAAGTGGCATTTATAGAAATAGTTCAAATTAATTTTTATAAAATTATGAAAATAAAGTTGATTCTATCAAAAGGGAAACTCCAGTTTCAATCTAAAAAATTGGATTATTAAGAATATAAAAAAAAGGAATATAGCATATATAATTACTTTACAAGTCATTTTGTAATTCATTGTTATCAAAAATTACCTTTCAATTTAAAACTTCAGCTGCTTTAATTTTTTAAAACTGTGGAAAAACAAAATTCAATGCAATATGGCGACCAGGCGGCATTCTATACGCAGCTGGTGCACAGTACACCTTCAGAAATATCATTTCCTGCTTCTGTGATTAGCTGACTGATTATGACAGGAGTCTGCACTAAGATACAAGCAACATTTTAGGCATCCCTTGCAACTTAATTTTGGGTCAGATAATCCCTAAGGTTTAATTATGCCTAAAGGGATGCCAACATTGCAACTTTCCTCATCAGAATATAGAATGCATCAGGTGGCTATAATGAACCAGACCCTCCTATTCAGAAATCAGTTTGGAAAGGACATGGTGAAACAAACAGCTTTTCCCTCAGAACAGAAACAGGTAGAAATCTGCAACAAAGTTTGCTAATATCCTTGCATTGTATTTTGATCAGCCAGATGGGACTGATTTTTTCTCAACCAAAGTGGGGTTAGACTTTAACTACTAGACATTTTAACAGGTCATTTACACAAAACTAAGGAGAGAGGGAGACGGGAAAAAAGAGAGGGGAGGGCGTGTAATAAAAGTACAAGTGACTCTGACACCTGGCAAGTGACCATGACAAATGACTGACTGTGGTTTGCTGGATTATAGATTGGACCAAACATGATTTGTTGGATGCCTAACTGAAGTATGATTGAGGATGATAGATTTGTGAATGAGGAGGATGAAGTAAACTGAGATAAATTGTACATCGGACAGTCTGCAAGTATTAAAGCCCACAATCAATAATGGGCATTGGGCAATAATGATAACAAAGCTGATGGTGAATCATAGTTTTCATATATTCAGTCTACCTGCCTTGGCGAGGGAAGAGACTTTTATTTTTGCATTCTTTAGTTTCCTCATTCTTTGAGAACTTCTTTTAAAAATCTTTTATGCTTTACCTATAGATTTAAGTCATACCCTTTTTTTAGCTTAATGATAGAACAAAACTAAACAGAATTCACTTTTTTCTTGCTATTGTTTACCCCATATGAGACTTTCTGCTGTGTGTGATTTTGTTATGCCAGTAGTGGAAAGGTAGTTTGTACCATGGATTGCGTAAACTCAAAAGATTTGTCTCCCTTTGCTTCCCGAAAAGCTTATACTGCTGCAAAACCATGTATTTTTTTGCAGCAAGATGTTATCTCTAATAGGATACCAATGAGTGTATACTTAGACATGGCAGTGACTTTCACAGCTATAGTATTTCTTATGTTGCAAGTAAGGAATGGTTCCAAGTAGGAGTCGACCGATATCGATATTTTGGAACCGATGCCCATTACTGCCCACCTTTCAGGCGATAGCAGGTACCAATATTATGTTTACATCTAGCTGTACCAACAGCTCTATGCAAACAGCAGGCAGTCGCCTGATATCGGCCGCCCCCCACCCCATTCCTCTGCTGGTGGCAGGATTCCACAATAGCCAATAGAAGGCTGGCTATTGCACCCGCCCACTGCCTGCTGTCAATCAGCAGAGAAGGACCTGAAGGAGAGCTTTTTCCTTCAGTTCTGCTCCTCTGCTGATTGACAGCAGGCAGTGGGAGGGTGCAATAGCCAGCCTGCTATTGGCAATTTGAAATAGCCAATAGCGGGCTGACTATTGCTTCCCCTGCTATCTGTTTTTATTTTTCATATTTTGACAGTGGCCGCCGGTCGCTGTCAGAATACACGAACAGAGCCGGCAGCTCTGTTCCTACATAGATTTACTGACCGGCTTCTTCAATCAGCTGATCAGCCCGGATTATTGGTAGATCTGATAATTGGTCTATCCCTAGTTCCAAGTCTGCAGATAACTGTACAAATGTGCAATTCATCATATATCTTGTAGCAACTTAGCGATCAACTGCGGGCAAAACTTACACCAAATAAGTCAGCTACTAATGCCATCCAGGAAATAATACAAGCATGCTTGATGTGTATGAATAGGATAAGCACATTTTTCATTTTGGATGGAGTGGTGAGGATTTAGAGGCATTCATGCTCTCCATTTAGGCTGGTACATTGTCATCAGAACTGAAAGTGAGTGAAAATACAAAATTGTCAGTTGCCAGAAAAACAAGAATAGATGCAAAATCTTCCAATGAGTACACTTGTTCTGGTGGCAACTATCTAAGAGAGGGTTTACCTTACTGGAGAGTTTGCCTCTCATTTCCTGTTGTGTTTACATGACTAGAAATTAAGTGAAATCTCTCAAATGAGACATAGATGGCAAAAAACAGGGGTTTTATTTCAGATGCGCTGAAATTACATTTTGAAACCGAAAGTTAAAAAAACATCAGGCCGAAACTGAAAATTATTTTTTTCTAACCTTTTTTAATTAAAAAAAAAAAAAAATTATTTGTATTTCTTTTTTTTCAAAACTTTTTTTTTCTTGTATTTATTAATAAATATTTTTTTCTTTTTTTTACTTTACTGCTGGGGGCTTCTGTAAGATATCAGTGGTCTAAAACGACCACTGATATTTCCCTTTAAAATAGAAAAAGATTGAGGACACAGAGTCCTCAATCTTTTTTTCTGCAGCCCCTGTTATGAATGAACAGTAAGACTCTATACTTAGTATTCTTGCTCATTCATACTTTGTGGATATAGTATGTGATGTAGAGAACGTCTTGTTCATTCATAATTGGGGACACAGTAAATATACTATGTTCTCAATTATTTACAAGCAAGATCGCTGACTGCTTGTACCCACTCTTCATCCTGACTTGCTGTCACAGGAGGCTGAGCGGATGGTGTGGGCAGGAGAGCTCGGTTTATTTTGACAGCTGACTCAGCCCCCACACCGCCAACTCAGCCTCCTGCGACAGCTGACAGCTGTCTCCGCCCCCACATGGCTCTTAATCCCGATCTGTCACAGGAGGCCGCACCGGGCGGTGCAGGAGGAGAGCTTGGCCTCCTGTGGCATCGCTGCTCACAGCGCTCTCCTCCCCACTCAGCCGCATTAACGTTTCTCTCCTGTCTGCTGGACACTATGCTATGTCAGAGGAGACACAGAGCAGTGCCCAGAGGGGAGGAGAGAAAATAGCAATGCACCTCAATTTTGGCCAAAAGGTTGTACTTTCGGCATTTTTCCCAAAGTGCCATTTTCCGCCGATATATTTTTTGGTGGCCAAAATTTCGGTGCATCCCTAGTTTGAATTATGCCCAGCTTTATTTTTAAGGACAGATCTCCTTCTCACAGTCTCACAGAAATGCAGAAACCACTGATAGAAAAGAGGTGACTTGATACATAGCAGGAGCTGGGAAAAGAGACCTGAGGCCTGTGCTATGGAACTGCAAATGTGGAGACTGTGTTTGGTTACCAGAACCAGTGACCAGGCTCTTGGAGAAAATAGTGGGGGGGAGGGGGGGTATTGGGGTGACAAAGGAGGGTGTTAAGTGAGGCCACAACCTCCAATCACTATTATAGTAGACATTCAAACATGGGGCAGTTTGGTGCATTACAAATACAGCTGAATAAAAGCTAAAGCCCTAGCTAGATAAGCGGTGTGCATCGTATGCATGTCAAACATAAATGTGCAGTTCTGTCTGTATACCTTTAGTTTGTTGCCACAGCATGCTATTGGCCAAAATCCCCCTATATGGCAAATTTGACCAGGGGAATAAAGTTCCTATACCATACCGAAGATTCCACATTCAAAAGCCCATTCTTTAACCCATGTTACACCAAGTGATGCTCCCATAAAGTAGGGTTAACCAACAAGGAGGTAGCCAGATAAGTGACATGTGCCCTAAATAGAGTACTTTATGAAATAATCTGCACTGCCCTGTATTATGCCAACATAAGGAAACCCACTTCCCACTAACACTAAAACTCTAAACAATGGCAAGCTTAGTATAAGTGTAATTAAACACCCAGCTTTACAAAATTTAAATAAGAACTCTGGGCAAACAAAATTATACTCTCCCGATCCTTGGAGCTGGCACTTACACCGGTTCTTCCAGCTTCACTCTCCCTCCACTCCACCTAGACCAAAAGGAACACTTAACCCTTGCAGTGTAGGGCTAGCCAAAATCCTCCTTGCTGAATAGGGCCAGAAGCAACGATTGCATCCTTTCCAGTCCCTCAGCTCTCATTACCCAGCTGCAGAAGCCGAGCGGAAAGGTTACACTAGGGGTCTAATAGACGCCTAATGTCCCCTTAAACAGTACTTGTTACCACTAGTATGCTATCACATAGGGGGCTTGTGAGCTCCTCTATGTGATAGTAATTAAGAAAGAAAAAAAAAGTTTTAAAAAAATACAATTAACCACTTAATTGTGTTAAACCCCCCCTTCCTGGCCAGGCCATTTTTCAGTATTCAGCGCTGCTGTACTTTGACTGACATTTATTCCGTCATACAACGCTGTACTGAAATTAATTTTGTACCATTTGTTTGGGGACATATAGAGCTTTATTTCGGTGGTATTTAATCACCACTGGGGGTTTTATTTTTTACTGTATTAAGGAAAAATTACAAAAAATGTTGAAAAAAATGAAATGATGAAACATTTATTAATTACCCAATTTTTTGGTAAAATATAAAGACGGGGTCATATTGGGTAAACAGACACCAAACATGTCAAGCCTTAAAATTACGTGCACCCGCAAAAAAACTACAATACCCAAAATTGGCCATAGGCTTGAAAAGCTTTTATCGCTCATCAGTTTAGTGTTATCAGTGATTAAGGGTCCTAAAATTATTGCTCGCACTCCGACATTCACGGTGATATGTAACATGTGCAGCGCAATTGATGTTTTCGCACGTTGGCGCACCTGATGCGTATTTACTTTTATATGTGCGTATACATGGGGGTGGGGTACTTAATTTATAGGGGGTTTTTTTACGAGTAATTTTTTTACACTTAATGTTTAAGGTGCTAACAATCCCCCTATGTGATAGCACAGGCACACTGACAGGTCCTGTTTATGGAGACATTAGGGGTCTGTAAGATCCCTGTCAGCTGGGGAACCCCAAAGAAGCTAGTGAAGCAGATCTCTATAGCAGCCAGAGGAATGACAGCTGAATGCGGAAGTGATATAACACACACCACTTCCGTATTCAGACATCAAAGAGGAGATCAGCACGGAGGACAATGCTGAGCTCCCTCCCATCTTCCTGCTGACAGCCGCCGAGCTGGTCCCGGGCCCGCAGAGGGACAGCGGAGCTCGGAATGGAAGGTAACGGGGAGGCGCATACTGCAGGGCAGCACATAAAAGCGATCAGACGGCTATACAGCCACTGATTGCTTTTATGTGTAAAGCTGGCCATACACCTTACAATTATCTGCAGATTTTTTTATGGTCAGATGGAAAAGGTGCAACAGATTCCTCCATCTACACTTAACTGTGTGGATGGAGTAATCTCCACCTGGCCCAATCTGTTGCACTTTTTCCATCTGACCACAGAAAATCTGCAGATAATTGTAAGGTGTATGGGCAGCTTCACAGCCGTCACCGGCTGTTTACATCTGTCAGTGTGTTCTGCTCGTGCACACACTAGGGGGTACACGCAAGCAGGAAAAAAAAACGCTGTACATTTACGGCGCCCCGCTGATAGGAGCTTGCCGTCTGTCCAGTTTTTCTTTTCACAATGGGCGGACAGCAAGTGGTTAAATAAAGGTTAAACAAAAAATATATTTTTTTAAAGTCCCCCTCGAGCGTGCAAATATTAAGGTAAACACGTGGCAGATGCACCTACGTACGAAAACAACGATTGTGCTACACGTTAGGTATTACTGCGTGCATCAGAATGAGAGCAATAATTCTAGGGCCAGTATTCATGGATAACTCTAAACTGATGACCTGTACAGGCTTTAAAGTGTCACCTATAGACAAGTTGGGGTACCGTATTTTGTCGCCGTTTTATGGACGCACACGCAATTTTTTACCCGGGCATGTTGTGTATCTATTTACTCAACGTAATCTTATCTTTTACAAAACATGGGTGTACAATGTGCTCTGCGTTGGGGGTGCCTTAAATTACTGAATCTTGAATAAGTGTTGGGTTTATTTACAAATAGGGATATACATAGATTCTAATTACAATTAAGTGAATTAGAGAGGGGATCAGGATCCTTGAGGTAGCTACACCATTACTCTCACTCTCAGATGCCATTGGTTTTTCTCTGTGCTCAGAACACTCCTCTCCAGTAGGTCTCAGCAAATCACCTTCTTGATTGTAGAGTTCAGAAAGACTTGTCCTGTCCAAAGGTCACCATTGTTCCTACTTGTGAGCTAGGTTTGTGCAGATGATTACACAGGAAGAAGATTCCATCATATGCCTCTGCCCCCATCCCGGCATATATGCTGCCTTGCTGACCCAGGTGTGGGCAGTAAATACCCGCAGGGGGCAGGCTTGCCCCAGGACATGACAGTCCTGGCATATCTTCATTCATCAGTGTCCAGCCCCAAGAACCCTTTGATGGTCCTCATCTGCGTAACAGACACGTGCTGATTCAGTTCAAGATATCAAGGAACAACTTTGCATCAAAGCTGTATCATAGATGTCAATTTTATCAGTTCCAACAATGGGTACTATATTGTGTTTTGAGGCACTAAAATTAATTTAAGTGTATTTTTACTAAATTTTTGGGTGTGAGAAGTTGCGCTAATATTGTGCAACTGCCACCATTTTGTTCCACAGGGTCTTTGTTTTCAGTATATATATAATAAAATCTATGTATGTTTTCGGGGCTTCAAGTAATTTTCAGTCCTAAAATGTGGATTATAACAGGTGTGCAAAAAAAAAAGCCCTGCAAAAAAAGGCTTGGCAGTGAAAGGGTTAATCTGCTGTGTTGCAACATATGGTCCACCTTCCCTGCTTAATGGCTTGTGCACAGTAATTTTAATATAAAAGGCCATCTCAGATGCTTTGCACGTCTTTTTTAAAATTGTAATGCTTGTCGTAGCCACCATTCTAAGAAAGCACAAGTTTGGATGATCTGCAATTACTATGCTGCTCCGTTGGCTTCATCCTTTTTTAAAAGGAGAATTATGGGGAGAGTGAAATACACTCATCACAATATTTAGAGCCGGCTCTATTGATCAAGAACTGGAGTGATCACATACCACGATCAGTCACCGCTCCCCCCTACCTCTCTATTCCTCTGGCGCTGACTGGGAGGGACAGACAGGGGGAGAGGGGGCACAGCTGAGAGACTAGAGAGGCAGAGCCAGCTGTCAATCAGGCAGCGCGGAGGATCCCGACAATATTGACGAGTTACGTCCCAGCTGCAGCGCGGCTCTCCGCTCTCAATAGCCCGCTATTTGTTGAATTTTGGGATGCAGGAGGACATAGTAAATGTATTCCTGTGACTCCAAAGAGAACTACAGCCAAAAAACGTTTGGCCATAGTTCTCGTTAAGTATTCAGGACAAGTGCATGAGTGCAGATCTAAAATAAAAGTCTTTACATAATCCAGAAATAAACTTGATTATCCCACTTCCATTTTCACTTCTCTCAGAGATTGCAGAGCCCTGTACCTCATGCTATGTTTTGTTTTCCAGACTTACTGTTGTCCTACAAGTGCAGTTAGGATTAACATGCCTACAAACACCACAGTACTGGGGATTAAATGCAAGCTCTGTAACACTACTGTAGGGAAATTCAAGCAGAGAACATCAACGTATTGGGCTATCCTTGGGATTATGGGTAGTTAGAATTTGCCAATATTTTGTCAAATCTAATCCTGCCATTATTGTTTCTGTTGGAATCAAAAGATTACATTTTGTACCTTAGTAGGGCTGCAGTTTACGATTATTTTCATAATCTATTAGTTGCCTGATTATTTTTTCAATTACTCGATTGGTTGTATAAAAAAGAAAAACTCTTCCCCCCTCTCTTTCTTTCCACCTCTATTTTTACCCCCCTCTCCCAACCAACTAATCAGTGATGAGAATAGTTGCCAACTATTCTCATAATCGATTTAGTTATTGCAACCCTATATCTTAGTTCTTGATAGAACCATAGTAATGTAAAAAAAGTGGTCCAAATTTGTTTCATCTAAATAAAGACTGCAGGCCTAAGGCAAGGCATTTTTTTCCTTTTAAAAGAAATAATAAAAATCAGGCTACACAAAATCAAACAAATACAAATAATACATTTATTTCAAATCTGTTACATGGAAGGTGTGAATAAACACAAAGTTTTGTGGGAAATGCTGCAAAAGCATAGAGGAAGCCTTTGAAACGTTTTGAAGAATCAACGATGGCTATTTTATAAGCACTTGAAATAAGCAGACATACAAAATAATGACTTACAATTAAAGCTGAACTCTGGGCAGAATTTTCCTTTAAATATATTTCTCAACAGCCATAAAAGATATAGATGCATATTCTGTGCTGCAAATTGCCACACACAGCGTAGAGCTGTGGGAGGGACCCAGCAGGCTCCACCCATTACAGGCTGCAGGTAAATTGATGAAAATTACAGGGGGGGCGAATACAAGACCAGTCACCTTGCACAAGAAGAGAGCAGCAGTGACCAGTGGTTAGGAAGCCCCTGCACAGAGGCAACGTTTTATGCTGGATTACAACACAGATCTAAAAGAAATACACGATGCACAACAAGATTCAAGTGAGAATACACATGACTGTGGTATTTAGCCAACATTTGCATATCCCAGTGTTCAGCTTTAAGAGTCTGCCCACCTAAATGAATACTACAGTTTTTAGGAAGATACTGAGAATTAAACCACTTTAATGTCTCTGGGGGAGTGTGGTGGCAAGGTTTTTATGGAGTGTCCAGGCCTACTACAGCCATTAAAGGGGGTCCCATTCCCGGTTTTTACATATTGAACAGGTAAAAAGGAGCAAAAGGGGAACAACCAAAAGATAACCAGCACCCCAAAGTGGGTGTGAACAGAGCCAGAAAGTATGGCAAGGAAATTTTGATAGCAGAATTGTCAAGAATCCAGGGACAACTAATTTTCCCCAGCTATAACAAATACCATTTTTGAGTGAACTATGGGGTTTAATCAAATTCTGAACACTGGAATGATTAAGAACTGTTAAATAAAGTACCACATTTAGTACAACGTTTAGGACATTGAAGAGTTTTTATTTTGTATTTTTAACAAGGAAAGTAAAACTTAAAAACACAAATGTAATGTACAATTAAAATCTTATCTGCACACATTACCCTAGATAAATTATTATTGGGATCACTCGTACCATAAAATCGCTGTCCATAATGACCCAATAACAAAATGTTGAAGGAAACCTCTATGGCAACAATGTGGAGGCTGCCATTGTTATATTATCCTTCTGAAAGTGCTAGTAGCCTAGCTGTCATGATGATCTAATGGCTTAAATACTTTGAGGCAGTGTATGCAAATCAAGACCTTGGGCTTTCAAAAACCTGCACCCTTGTCTGCACTGGTAGCTCTTGTGTTCTCTCAGAATAGGTGTCCTTTAAAAAAGGTATGTAATCTGTAAGACTCTCCTGATAAATGCTAGCAACAATAAGCCTATAACTAAAATAGACGGACATCAACAAATCTGAATACTGTATGTATTTGCAATATTTAGGTCTAGAAAGAGAATGAATAGGACTATGCTAGGCAAGGATAGTGAGAGGAACTGTTGGAAACACCTGAATGATTACACATTAAAATGTAAATGTACCCAAAATGATTATCTCAACTAGCAATACAGTACATTATTTTTAAGATAGGTTTCCACCATCCTAAAGTCTAGTGATTTTCTTTCACTGGAGCTTCAAATGAAGATAAAAGTCCAGGGCACAGAAAGCAAAAATAAAATAAAAACAGTAAAACATTTTGATGGAAAAATAGAGAATGGCTTTTTACAATTTACCTGACTAAACGTAGACATATCTTCTCTGGAGGAAATTCATGTGGTCCCTCCACACTGTTATCATGGCATTCTGTCTCTAGATAGACATCTAGCAGCATGCACAGTCTCTGCAGCTGATTAGTTAGCAACTGAAAGCCAGGAGAAGGGCCACATAGCTCCTTATAGTAGACATTGATCTCACTCTCCATAACCTGCAGAGATGTAGGAAAAGGTGATGACATTCTAGATCATGTATAATCCCAACATTCATATGACAAGTGTATCATGCACATACATACTGTAGTCTGCAGTAATAACCACAAGCCCCAATGTCCTACTCATGAGACTGGCTTACTCCACTGTCACTACTTACCCGGATGTTTTCATCATTTCTGGAACTGCGCTCTCCCTTCCAGTTTAGACAAAGACTGAACAATGGTGGAACTGAGCAATAACCAGGATTAAGAATTACGGCTCCTTGCAATTTGGCTGTCAACACAAGTCAGACAAGGGAAGAAAGAAATCAGAAAACAAAATGCTTCATAAGTTGCAGCACAGACATTTCTTACAATCTTAAGCTCAAGTAGACTCTTAACTTCCCCATATTTTTGAAAACAAGTCATGAAAAAAGTGGTATGACGTGGAGTGTTAAGGGGAACACAGTGTACCAGGCCAACAGTGACAAAGCCTTTGCTGTACTGTTCATCATTATCTCATCAATAAAATGGGAGTACTGGACAGAACATATGAAACCAGCAGTAGTTTTCCCCGACATATACTTAGAGCTAAACTCCAGCCTTATGTTAAACCTGCTCCACTGTACAGGCTCCTCTCCTTTACTGAAATTGCTTACTCTTATTTCACTGTACACTGTGAGGGTCTTGCATTGATTAGAAACTGCTGCAGCAGACAGAGCTTGCTTCATTTCCAGGCTGGAGGACATCCAGCTTCATCTAGGCTTTTCTTCCCTGGCTATACTGGTTCTGGCCCACCCTTTTTGGTATATTTAAGGTACAGTATCACATGGAAGTGTTAGGGAAGTCAGCATGGAAAACCAGCCTGCCTAAGAACACCCACTCCTCCAGACTGACATCCACCTAAGGCATCTTGTTTAGGAAGCGATGTACAACAGCCTGCAGGTCCCTCCCACAAGCCATGATCTGCCCGCATTGCATAGAGAAATACAGAAACATAATTGGGCCTAAACAAGGTATATAACAAAAAGACAGAACAGTTTCATTTGAAAAATGCATTAGAATATTGATGTTGAGTTGGGGAGGGAAGGCAATGTGTGTGCAGAATAAAGTTTAGCTTTAAACTTGCTTGAAATAGATTGGCCACGCAAAAAAAACTTCACACATTAACCAATGAAAATAAAGACTAAATAGATCATAGAAAGGCTGTTGAATTTGCCAACACATACTGTATGTTGATACATTAATTATTGCCTGGGGTTACTCCTGCATCACAGATCTGAAGACATGGCAAGATAGTTAGGGTCTTACTAGATTCATGGCACACAGCAGGCAGAAGAAAATTAAACTAGGCAATATTTGTACTGAATGAATAAAGCTACCCAACATCTATACCTCCCCAGTTCATACCTGTTCCTCTCTCAATCATGAGGGAAAAATATAGATGGGTATCTAGTGCTAGTCCTGCCTCCACCACATCTTTTGTGTAAGGGAGCACCTGTAATGGAGAGAAGAAGAATTCAGAGCAGTCTGGACAACATCATATTGATGAATTTGATGCTACACAAAGAAACCACACAAATACTTTATCAAACTATAAGCCCTTATTAGACAAGCAATGAATGAACATTGCCCACAGCAATCAGCCCGCTATCATGCTTCACTTTCTGGTTTGCATCATAAAAATATCTGTGCAGTTTCTTGGGAAAACATCCTCCGCCATTCTGTCACCAGAACCACAACCTACTTTTTTTTTTTTTGCAGTGAACAATGAAATGCGTGCAAAGAAGTTTTCCCAGCTATGTCAATTCTCTTATAACAGTGTACCCTGGTGTGTGACCAGCTTTTATTTTTTACAAGTGAAATGAATTGCTACTTTATAACTGCCCTGAAATTGTTTACAACAATGTCCAATAAGTTGTCAGTACAAGAAATAAGTCTAAGATGGTTCAATAACTGGATCAGTAGTTCAGGATACTGGGCAATTGGAGAAGCCCTTTAATGCCTAACATCATACCGTGTTTCCCAGAAAATAAAACAGTGTCTTATATTTTTTTCCCACGAAAAAAGACACTAGGTCTTATTTTCAGGGCATGTTGCAGTGTTAGTAGTAGTACAGGATAGTCCCGGCGGCAGACAGTACCGGGCTGGGGGAGGAGTACTTACAGGACTGGACGAGGTCCCAGAAGGCGGCGTGCTGTTGCCGGTCCCGAAGTGGCGGATGACATGCCACTTCCACCGGGCGTGGGGGCGTGTGTGCGGGCGGGTCGGGGCGGGAGCTGCGGCCGGTCTTGACAATTTAAAGTAAGACCTAGCGCTATCTTCAAGGATATCTGTAATATAAGACTTACCACCGAACTAGGTCTTATTTTCGGGGTAGGTCTTATATTACAGAAATCCCTGAAGATAGCGCTAGGTCTTACTTTCGGGGAAACACGGTAGTTCATCTGTAACAAAATTATTTTACAAAAGTAGTGCTGTCATTACCTAATGATTCCATTTAAAATGTACAAAATAAAGCCAACCATCAATATTCTCCAATCCTTAAACTATAATATATGACTGCTTAATAGCTTCCTACGTGTCACTTTAGCTTTAACAATTCTTTCATACACTAAGCCATGCTGTATGATTCTATGCTCTCCAGAACATTATACACTATAGCACGCTTTAAACATAAAGGTGAATAAAGACATCCTTCACTCACCACATAATCTTCATATGGCATCACGTTCCACTTTGTTAACCGTGTCACCACTTTGGCAGGAAAAAGGTTCTGGCAATCTCCAGAAATTGGAATGATACCATGCTCTATAAAAAAAAAAGCAAAGAATTACATGACAACCGATACCTGATGAAAGATGTATGTTGCAGCTACAAGTTGACATGGTCACATACCGAGAGATGCAAACTGCCTGTGAAGAGATAGCCGAGACTGTAGACGGGACCTCAGCAAGTGAACGGTCTTCTCCATGTGACTGGCACTTAGAGCATTGTCTGCTACAACTGTAGGCTGCATGGAGAGAACAGAACAGATTTTCCTTTGATACTTAAGGTCAAGGTAAACAAAACACTTACACTCTTGCTAGAAAACATGATGCAGAAGACTGATGTTGGAAATAGGGTAAGGCCCCAAGGGGCCTTTTAGTCACATTGAGAAAGGGGACCTGATGATGATTATTGATGATGATGTGTATTATACCTCTACAGCCGAGCACCAATCTTTACTAAACCAGCCAGTGAGGTACGTATGTGGGGCATTTATACAATGCATTCTCAGAATAAAAACACGTTTGTACTACTTGGCTAGTAAACAATGGTAACTCAATGGTGTGTGGTGTTCAGCAAAGTTTACCTGTGGTTGATCTGTTGGAAAATGTAGACCACCCATTGTTTGTACCCACAGGTAAGGGTGACCAAGCTCTGAAATATAGTCACTCAATGCCAGGATGCTAAAAATAATGAAGGAAAACGGAATTAGTTGCATTTCCAAATATACATGTGAAGGTTGAGGCTGTTAAGAGTTGGAGATTGATTATACAAAATTCAGGTGTAGTAACTCACCCTACTTTATCAAACTGGTATCTATTAGCTGGATTTGGGGTTTTCTTGCCATTATCCCCAGGGTAGAGGCAGCTGAGTACAGAGTCGGGGTTTAGCAGATCACTAGTGAAAGGGAAGCAAGATGATATTACCAATGGTGCACAGTATCTCTATTTCCTACTAATACAATGGTAAAGGCTGATTTCTCTGCTAGAAGACAGTACCCCTTACCCTGCACTAATAGCACTGGACAGCTCAGATGTTGTTGTAATCTTTGCCTTTACGGTGAGTATATTGAGGTTCATAAGGAAGAAGAAGGTCAGATTCAGAGAGCTGCCATCTAAGAAAAAAAACAATATGCTTTGCAATAAAAAAAACAAAAAAACATATCCTCATGTCATCAAAAATAAAACAGAGCAGTTACATACCTTTACACTTAACTACAAGGGACACAGACAAAGGATGTTTCTTCAGCATCTCCTTTCTCTTATCATCCAGCTGTACCCCAAATGTTGGACGTCTCCGCTTCTGAAGAAAGGGAAAATATAACAATGTATAAGATAAAGACTTTTCAGTCCACTATAGTAGCCAATAAAAGAGCCTTCAATTACAATAAAATAACCCTAAGGCCTCAAATCACACCAGACACAGTGCGTTCCTGCCCGATTCTGGGCAATCCCCAAAGCAATCTATTGTTTCATCAGAGTGTGTGCCTAACAGCCATAAAGCTAGGCCAATAATGCCTCACATTTCAGCTGAATCGGGCAGAATTCAAACCGTGGGTGGCCATGTTGGTACTACCCAACTTGACAATAGTCTATTTAAGAATTGACTGAGCCGCATGGAAAATTCTCAGTCTAACATTGACTGCAACCAAACCGATGCATTTACTGTGCCGGGAATTCAGGCGATGGGGCTGCCTAAATACAATAGCAGCCAGAGACATGCCTCCATTCACATTGTTTAGTGTGGATGGAGGTTTCGATTTTCTCTTGTTCAGCTGAAAATGAAGCGTGTATTCCTAGCCTATGGGCAGATGTGGTCAAACAGCATGTAAACAGGTACTTTATTTTACCTTCACACTACATGTTATGTTCTCTTACAGAAATCTTGTAGACTAAATAAAATTATGATGTATGCTACTCTTTGCTTTACATAAACTCACCGTTGTCTGCTCCTCTTCCGCGTCAGAATCACTTTCATCATCTGGAAACACACATGAAGCAAAACAATGTAATCCATGTAGGAA